TATCGCGATATATATTGATATCGAATTATTGTCCAGCCCTACCGCTCAGTGTCCGACCTCTGACACGCCGGGGCTGCCTGTCCATGTTCCTCTTCCTGTGCTGTGCCCTAATCCATCTGGAGGCCGGCCATTGGGAAGAGGGTGTGACCAGATTTTCTAATCCTTAGTGTACGCATTTGGCCTGTTTGGAATCGGTAAATAAGCTGCCTTTTCTCCAAAACTGATCACTTGCATAGAGAGTAATTTGTCTACACCTGCTTCTAGAACTTTCTGCTGTACAGTAGGGCTGCTTACAGACTTCCTGCTACTTCCATTGATAGTGTTGGGTCCTGGTCCTGCTATTTTGCTATGGGTTTGAGTGCTGCAAGTATAAAATTATCCAACAACATCCCTAAAAATGACTTTATTTTGCCTAGATAAATCCTTCTAGATTATCAGTAAACATGTGCTTTTGCCCTGCTGAATCTAGGGCTGTAGGGTTAGGGGCTGCCAGACATTAAGTTTCTAAATAAGTAACTTTCTTGGGTTCGTACAAGTTTTTTTTATTTTTTTTTTTTTATTTAATCACATTAAAACACATTCTTTGATAAATGTATTTGCCTCTGACATTTAGATTTGTTATATCACACATTTGCCCACATAAATCAAATACTTAATCTTATTAAAATGCCATTAATAAATGACTGAGGCCTGTACTTACAGGTATTTATTTCTGTGGCAGACCTCGTTAACCTCGAGGCACTTAACGGGGGTATCTGTCCAGTGTCAAGTTTGGACTGTTCCATGGCACCCGTCCAGAACATGTCACCTGACTAATGTACGGGACCTGGCAGAACTCCAGGCTGTGTGTTTCTGTTGTGCTCCCATACGGCCTGATGAAAACCCTGGGGTGTGGGAATCCCCCCCCCCCCAAGTCTTTTACTGGCAAATAAATGTTTGCGGTTTGATTATGAGAATGCCTTTGCTGTTTACGACGCCAAGAGTGTTACTGGGTGGACGTCTGTGGCAAAGGCCAACGGCGGTCTGATCACCCAGGTAAAACCGTTGGGGGGGGGGGGATACTGGGAGATGGATTGTAATGATGCCGGCAATCTGTGTGATGGCAGTGCTCCTAATCCACACTTTCCTGGATGCACTTGAAATAAGAACAGACCACTTTGGTTCCTGTTCCAAAGAACACAATTATTCACATTTTAAAGAAACTGTAGAAGGTAACGCTGCTGAAATATTTGTGTGCCGTTTTGGTTAAAGGCGGCCGCTTCATCTACATCCTGAACCAGGTTTCAGAATGCCAGTATAAATGGCCTCGCTCTGCCTGCATCGTAGGGTCCCAGTCCGGTTTCAGTTCAGCTCACTCGACCCCAGGCCAGGTGATGGAGGACAGCCCTGGAACGCAGTAGGCCTGGCAGCGGAGAGTTTTGTCGCATAATGGCTGTTAAGTTAGTTTATTTTATGGTGCTGGTGTTGAACAGAGCCATAAAAAGGACTTTAACAACGAGGCAGTGTGACTCTGCTACGGGGGGGTGAGGGGGTGGGGCAGGGCTGCCGTCGGCATGAATGGGTGGACTGTGATGGTTTTTTTTTTTTTGTTTTTAATAACCCTCAATATTTGTGGTGGCTCGCCAGTGGCTCGTGAAAATACCTTGAGTCAGACAAAATATTTCTCTGGCCGTGTTTGGAATACCCTTCAAAATCGTGAGCGCTCCGTTTGGGCCAACTGTTGATACTGGCCCAGCCGTGCTCGTTGGTGCCTGAGTGGGAATCTGTCACAGAGTGGTTTTATCATTATTTTATCATCAGCCGGGAAACGGTATCGGTTTGCATTGAAGTAGCACTGTTCATATGATGTGTGAAACATCAGTACAAACCGAACAAAGGCATTGTCATTTTAGCCGTGTTAAATCCCTGGGAGTCAACAGCCACTAGAAAGGTGGGTAGAGGGCATGTTTTTTCCTCCAATAGAAGTACATTTTTGCCAGTTGCTGTCCTACTCTTCTCTGACTGGGCGTGAGGTTTCTGGGTCAGGCAGCCGTTTCCCGACGCAAAACGAGTTCTAGAGACTAACCTGACTCCAGCACCGTGAGTCAGTCCCCCATTTTAATTAGATTTCTCTGATTTCTTCCCTGGATCTGAGTCTTTCACCTTGTTTACATGGCAAACGGCGGATGGTGTGTCTCTGCAGGAACCGTTGAATGTGATCTGCTTATGATCACTGATCCGACGGGAATTTTGTAACAATGCATTATATAATAACTCAACAAAGCATGAATGAAGACATCCATCTCGTTTGTTTAGTACGTAATGCACATTATTACATTTTCATCATTAAAAAGTGCAGCTCCCACATGTTGTAATAACTACTGCAATGTGTAATAATTTCTTCCATATTTATATATTACATCCAATCTGTCTATAATAAAATACAAGGAAATTTATTCAAGCATTCAAGCTTTCTATTACAAAATGTGGGTGCTGTTACATAATGAAGTTATGTTATTGCATATTCTTACATAATGCGTTGTTACAAGGTTAATAATAATTTAAAAATGTTATGGTTTTTCTAAGTTTCAAGTAGTATATATCTGTTGCGCAAAACGTCGATCCCCTGACCCTAAGATGTTGACGGATACCTGAGGTAACGTGACGGCTAATCGTTATCGATTGCTATCGTTTGTGTTGACGCAGGCTGTCCTGTACATGGAGCAGCTCCCGGAGGAACGGCGTCCCGTCAGCGGCACCAAGGGCGCCCTCTACAGGCGTAGGCAACTGATGCGGCAGCTCCCGTCATACGACCAGGATCCCTCCAAGTGCCACGGGCTGCCCGAGGCGGAGTTGCGTGCCATGGCGCTCTTTGTGAAGGCCTACAAGGAGGAGGCGCTCGGCGTGGCAGAGGTGGCGCTGCCCGGGGAGGGGGGGGCAGCCCGAGATGATGCTGCCAAGCAGAAGAATGGGAAGGCGGGCCAGGATACACAGGAGCCCGACTCCCCGGCCAACGGGACGCCTGGCAAGAAAGGGGAATATGTGAGTGGAACAGGATGCTGTTGCCTGGGTTACTGAGTTACTGAGCTACCTAAAATCATAAAGCGACAATAAATTAACCCTCCGTTATGGTGCCAAAGAGAGAGGCACTTAAAGACTGCGATTTAGGTGCTGTCGTACCGCTCAGTGTGTCTGTCAGTACACCATTTTGTATTTGAGATACAAAACTTCACATAGAATTCATGGGAAAAGCCAAGCATTCCTTATATGCCCAGCAAGGCAATACTGTCTGGTATACGGAACATTCTACTAGGTTTCTCCTTGTAGTTATTACCTGACAAATTACAGGTGGGGGGGGGGGGGTTCTTCATTGGCTTAACGTTAATGATTTTTTTTTTTTCTACACGTGGTCTCTTGTATATCTGTTGTTTTCGTTGAAAAGTTTAGACCGAAAGGTTGTACAATTCTGAATTCTGTTTCTGTGTAGGAAACTTCTTTCAGATAAATGTCTAAAAACCCGTCAGGGTCATGATCATTAACAGGGTCAGAGGCCCATGAGCTGTTTGACATGTTCATACTTCATACTACTTTTTGCAATGGTCTAGTTGTCAGCTGGGGGGTAAGATTTGAAGAAGTATTTGGGGGGCGGGGGGGGGGGATCATTCACACGGTAAGGATTAGATTGAATTTCATACCGGACACGGAAATATGAGACAAATCGCATCCCATATTGGCTCAAAATGGGACAAAGCACTTTTGTTTTTCAATATGATGACTGTAGGCTGTACATTTTATTAAATGGGGTTAGTTGAGGCCCAGACCCATTGAAGGGCTCCTGGTCATGTGCTGAATTAACCAGCATATGTACTTTTCAGCTCCCAGCTGGTTTGAGACTTCAGTGTTTATTCCTCATCAGTTCATCCATTTCTGAATTTCGGGATTCTCCATTCCCTGGCATCCTGTCTAGGGTGTACCCCTGTGTCCCATGTCGCCTGAGTTGGGCGATCGGCCTGGCTCTCATTTTCCTCCCCCCACCAACTCTGCTGTTAGCTGCATTGTTCTTATCAGTCGACAGTGGGGGTGGAGGGGAGTCAGGAATTTGGCCGGGGACCAGGCGCGTGTTGGTGCTGGGCTGAAGGCGATGCTTGGAGAGGGGTTCCCTCAGTTCTCCGAGTGTAATGACGACGCCACATAACTCGCAATCTATTAAGCGTACTGATAAGGAGCGAGAGAACAACAGACGTTATGTCCCCCTACATCTTGGGAGGGCAGAGCCTGCAGAAGGCAATCTGTAACTGTCTGAATGTACCTCAGAGGTTCAGGGGGCATGTTCTAGCGAGGGCGCTGCACGACTTTGTGGTGGGGAGTGTACCCCTCCCCCCATCTACAATTATGTTTAAAAAAAAAAAAAAACCTCAGTCAGGCATACTCTCAGATTTAAAAAGGCACTGCATCTGTGAGTCTTTAAACCCCTAATTATTCCCCTGGGCCTATTCAAGAACGAAGACCAACATGCAGTGATCATGCGGAGGATCTGAAGTGGAACTCGGGAGGGGGGACATCTGAGGAACGGGCTTCAAAGGAACCCAGACGTGGAAACGTGTTCCGTGCCACGTGCCTCAGATGTGCCTCTATCTGCCGAACTCGATGGCACTGGAAAAGGGTACGAGCCTATGGGTAATTTGGGAGGGAGGTGGCCCTGATACTGAGGGGCCCTCAAGAAAGACTTCAAGATCGCAGGGTGGAATCAGAACACATATGGAGGCCATGCAGACCATCGCGCTCATTTGGGTTTGTAGAATATGCTGGCAAACTTCTGTCTGGAGCTGAGTTGAATTAGTTTAAAGACCATGGATCCCCGCTACACTACTGGGAGGCTTATTCCAAAATCCCACGTTCCCCTTTGTGCAAAGGAGCAATTTCTTTGTTCTGATCCAAACGTGTCCCTGACTACTCTTGTCTGTGGCCCCATGTTCTTGGATCAGTAGTAGCACTGTAGCAGTGCTCTGGATCGACCAAATCCGTTCCCTTTTTGGATTTCATGCACTTGGACCAGGTTTATTCCCAGTTGTCCAAGACGACAGGATTTACAACTTCTGATGTGTCCTGCTAGCTTAGCACCTTAGCTATGTGTATCGCTATCCAGTACTCTGTGTGTGTGTGTGTGTGTGTATGTGTGTGTGTGTGTGTGCGCGCATGCTTGCATGCGTGCGTGTTGTCTGCTTCCCGTTGGCCGAGTCGAGCATCTTTACATGCTCGTAAGCGTCCGAAGCGTGGTGGTAAAAACATGGAGATTTATGAGCTGGAGCGGGAGCGGTTCCTCCATCGCTTTATGGAGCACCTTTATCGGCCCGTAAAACGTGGATGGCGAGGGACTGTCAGGAACGGCGAGCGCTGGGCCCACCGGCCGGCCGTCCGTGCAGGTCTGGGTGGGACGACGCGATCCTTAAGTGGAGCCCCGAGTAGCCTGGGGATTATCACTGGCCTCCGTTTGGATTTCCGTCCAGGTTGTATCGTCACGCTTCGGCTCGAGAGGAGAACTTGAGCCCTGGAGCGCATTAATAAAAAACATCCAGTGAAATCAGACATTAGCCATGGTGTCTTTGTCCAGCCCAATTCCTGAAGGATTGTGGGAAAATCTGTTGCACCTTTCAATAGTCAACTTTTTTTTTATTAACTGTTTCAGTTGAGTATTTTCTATTTACTATACTAATGATAATTATTATAAGTTAGATGCAACAAACAGGCAGACTGGATGGGATAATCTGGAAACTGAGGCATATACATTTTACAATAACTTATTATGCAGACACTTTTATCCAAAGTGACATGCAAGTGAGGGTCAGAGAGCAGGATTTGCCGGTCTCTCTCTCAAGGGCCCATTGGTGACGTCGCTCTGCCAGCCACCAGCCTCCCTCCAACTGGGGCACTGGGCACCCGCCTGCGGAGCCACACCCTGCATCGGCACCCTAACATCTGCGCTTCGGGGTACGTTATTATCCCGGGCTGTGGGTCTGTCTGTCGCGACTGACTTACCTTTGAATCCAGAGAGTCGATTCCGGATGAAAACCACCAGCCTGCATCTCCTTCCTGCTCCTCCCCGTGTTCCTCCGCGGCGCAGGGGAGGAGAAGAAGAAAATAATTAGAACTTAGAGGAACATCTGCTTTCATCGTGACAGGAATGTGGGGCTGGGGCCTGCCCCCCCCCCCCCCCCCCCGCCCCCCCATAGGGGTGGCTTTCATTATCCCTCCCTGAATATGCCGCATGCAGGAAGCGCGTCAGCAGCGGCTGATCACCAGCCGGCTCTCGCCGTCATTATCTGCCCGGCAGATGCTCTCATTTCAAACGGCTTCGCTGCATTGCACTTTTATTGGGCTTTTACTGATCTGCACTGTTACTCATTAATTTGGGTCGTTTGGTGCCCTTGTTGGGTTCTGGGGCGGTTCTCAGCTATGATTCCAAGGTTTTGCTCAGAAGCTCAGTGTCTTAAAAACTTGCCGCAGAAGCATTATTTCCTCTTATTTGTTCACATTTAGTCGCTTGGCTGGTGCTTTTATTTAAAAATGAGCTTTTATTGACTTGTTATTAAATCATGACATCTTACTAAAGCAATTCACATTAACTACACTGACTAGAGGGACAACAGCACAGACCATCTCAAGATTTGAACTGCCGGTTTTCTGTTTATTTTACTGGACACTGAAATTGACATCGCTGTGAGGGCAGAGTCATCGGGGTTAAAGGCCTTGCTAAAGGCCCAAGAGTGAAAGTACTCTTCCAACTATTGGATTTGAACCAGCAGCCTTCTGGTTATGGGCACAGAGGATTAACTTGCAGAGCCATACCCTTTCTAGTTCCTGCCCTTGGGGCCTATACTTCCTGTTGGCTTATTCACATGACTTGATTACAGGTGTAGCTACAGTGGAGTGACACATTTTGCCCCCCCTGCCCCCCCAGCACTGTGAGCACTGCGGAGGCCTGGCGTTGCCCGACAGCCCTGTGGTGTATGCGGAGAGGGCCGGCTATGACAAGCTGTGGCACCCCACCTGCTTCGTGTGCGCGCAGTGCGGAGAAGCCCTGGTGGACCTGGTCTACTTCTGGGCGGACGGCGTCGTGCTGTGCGGACGGCATTACAGTGAGAGGCAGCGGCCGCGCTGCGCCGGCTGCGACGAGGTGGGGACCGCGGGACGGGCCCGGAGTTGGTACCAATGGCCTGTGTGTGTTTTTCAGAAGCAGTCAGCAAACGTCAAAAAGAGTTAAAACTGTAAAATACACTATATGGCCAAAAGTATTAATCAGAGGAAATGCCTAATTAATGGCTCGTCCATTGCTGACCCTGGTATACAGCATACAGCCATACAATCTCCTGCAGCAAAACTTATCAATAGAATATGTGGCTATACAGGAGAGGTTAGTGACGTCATGGTTCCAACGAGTGATTTCAGTTGCAAATTGCTTTCCTGCTATTGCTGCCCTTGTGAAGTGACTGTGAAGGTCAAAACATCTGGTAGCAAGGTCAGCTGAAGTGGTCGGCCACACATGGTCACAGAAAGGGACCTGATCACCCAGCACCGATGCCCAACTGAATGGCAGCAAATCCCACCAGCAATATTCCAACATTTAATTGAAACCCTTCCCAGAACAGCAGACACTGTTACAGCAAGTGGGCCAACCATATTAATGCCCTTGGTTTTGGAATGAGATGTTGGGCATGCTGGTGTCTACATACTTTTGGCTGTTTAGTGTAGAGAAATCACAGAATTGTTCATTTTCCAAACTGCTTATCCTGCTGGGTCATAGGGGGGGGGTCTAGAGCCTATCCCAGAAGCTATGGGCACAACCCAAGACAGGGGGCCAGCCCACCGCAGGACACACACACAATTCACACCTATGGGTAATTTAGTAACCTCAGTATGTCTTTTGGACTGTGGGGGACACACCAGAGAACCCAGAGGAAACCCCACGACGACATGCAAACTCCACACACATGTGACCCAGGTGTAGACTCAAACCCTGGTCCCAGAGGTGTAAGGCAACAGTGCTAACCACTGCACCACCATGCCACCCTGTTCCTAATAGTTATTCCTTGTAATACTTTTAAAAATGTTTTCTTTATGTGAAACCTCCCCATGTCACTTGGGTGTGTCTTATGTAATTGTAATTGTGACCCATTCTCTTACAGCTGATTTTTTCAGAGGATTACCAGCAAGGGGCAGATGGCCAGGCCTGGCATAAGGATCACTTCTGCTGCTGGCGATGTGGCCAGCCAATCAGTGCCCGGTGCTCCTGTAGTCAACCCTCCAGGCCAGTGTAGCACTGCAGGTCAGCTGCAGGCTTCCTTTGGGGCCTGCTGGATGGCATAATGGCTGCAGCAGTGGATAGATAGTACTTTAATAGTTTTCAGTCCTGGTCCTGTGCAACCGTAGATTGAATTATTTGTTAAATCAGGCACTCTAAAGGGTCCTGGTGGAGCAAAATTTGCAGGTCGTGGTGAGAGCAATGAATCCTGCACATAGTCATCCCCCTCCCCCCAGGGGGGGTAGGAAGCCTCATTTCCTCCACCCCCGGCCAGCAGGATAATACTGAATCACAGGTACAGGTGCATTCATGCAAATGAAACACATTCTCTTTATTTCTGGAACGTTTCATATACTTAGAACAACTTAAGTGGCTTCAAGCTGGTCCGTTTTCATTCTCTGGGGCAGAAAAAACATCTTCGTTTGGCAGTTCCATTAGCAGTGAAAAAAACAAGTGCTTTGCTATTGTGATCAGTTTAACGTGATCTGATTGGAGGCGTTCATTCAATGCTTACCTCCATCCATATTGATTTGAATTTCATTTACACAAAGTTCACTGCACGCTGGTTGGTTGGGACACGGACTGAGAACCACTGCTCTGGTCTAATCAGAAGTGTAATCGGTAGCTGAAAGTAATAGTTTTAGTACTAACTCTTTGCATTCTTGCATTCTTATTTAAGAGCACTTGTTTAAGGGTTCTGGGTTTTGTGAATTTGAATAGCTTGCATAAAGGACATCTATAACGTATGTTTCTCTATTTTATGAAATTAGATTTATCTGATGTGACTTTTTTCCCCCCCAGGATCTTTATTTTTTTAAGAACGATATTCGACATGTTTTATGGTTTTTGCAAAAGTTGCATACGTTTATTTTTTTTGTTTTTCCTTAAACAGTGGTGCTTTATTAGTCATTGTTCTTAATGGATAGCACTGGATTGTGATGTTGCAAGAAAAATGTAAAGAACAGAGTGAAAAAGCGTGTTATTTAATGGGGGGGGGGACTTGTTTGTTTTGAATGAGTATCAGATGTAGGCAGATCGGATGGGTTTGTCGTATAAGATGACCCTGGTTTTATGTGCTTCTTGATCCACTCCCGGACACATGGTGATTCAGCAGAAAGCAACGCGTCGCCCCGGTTATGTTGAAAGAAGCGTGTTTTTGCTTGTGTACATTATAATTCAAAGACTCTCATGCAATCCCGGAGGGATACGCTGATGCCAAACCCAAAAGCACAGCAAACAGACTCTCCTATATGAGCTAGCCAAGGAGGGACGGAGAGAGAGGAAAGAAAAAAACACATTTATGTCTAAAGACAGATGTTTTGACCAAGTGAGGCTGAATGTAACATAAGCACACCCGCCCCCCTCCCTTTTGGAAAAAACATTTTTTGCCTTGAGATAATTTTTATTGAAAGGATGTTTTTTGGCACCGAAGGGCTTCACTTGGACTGGGAGCATGACGGTTCTCTGCTGACTTGGAGACTTATAAAAGCTCGTCATGTGGGTTAGAGTCTTGCGGAAAGTGCTACGCTTCAGAGAGCTTCATGGACACAATCCCCTCCAACCCCCCCCCCCAAAAAAATAAGTAGATAATACATAAATATTTTTAACACAAACTGAAAAATATTATTAAAAGTCTACGAGTAAAAAAAAAAAAAAAAAACATTGATTGATTGGTGGTGCATCACTAGTATTACTTATGACAACTAAATTACAGGAGCTTTCCCTGTATTTATGACTTTCCAGAGAGCAGAATAGGAATCCAATCATTAAAGTTATGCTTAAAGCCAATTTTTTTTTCACTAACCCCACTGTACAGTTGGGAGCTCTGAGACCTCTGAGAGACAATAAACAAAAAACAAGGAAACGACTCATTTCATTATATTGACAGCACAGATGTTCACCGCTGAATTATGAAACTGTTTCCCTGATTTACTAATTCTCTTGATGGTGTTTTTTTCCCCACTATAATCTTGCAGTCGCTCCTAAAACTTTGAATAAATATTGACACCTGAGACAATCCCATCTCAAATTGAGCTTAAACTCACTAAACTGGAATAAGCCTGCACTTATCTGACAGTTACTGCTTGAAATCCACTCTCTTGTACCTTTTATTCACTTTGATTTCATGGTATGATGGTTCAAGTAGACCTACGTAGATGTTGAGTTTTGTAATTGCCATTACTCATTTTGGGAATTTTATATCAATTAATGTCCCTGCTTATATAGAAGGCATGTTTGTTGTGTTTAACTTTTTTAATGTATGTATGTCAAGGTTTCTAGCTGAGAACAGACCTAGTCTATTATCCAGCGGAAATTTAATAGATTGTGTTGTTTGTTTTAAAACAGCGTTTCGGGGTGCAACCCTGTTTAATACTGACAACCTGACAGTCTCTGCCATAACTGTAGGAGGATATTGTATATTTCCATTGTTATGATACTCTGAATGTCTGTAACAGATATACGGCCAAACTGTGTTTTCTGCAATCTAATATGTATCATCATATTAAATATAATATGTGGTGAAAACATGACGTTTTATTTTTCAACTGTGAGTTTAAAATTCTTAGAACTATCATGTTTATTATGAATATATACATTTTAAATATTCCCAAGAGAAGAGCATTTTTTTCAGGTTAAGGAAACCAGTTTTGTGTCGAAGAGCTTAGGGCTTGATTATAAACGGGTGTTGAGGAAATCGTTAACATCTGAAAATAACTTTGTTTGGTTTAATGCACACCGCAGACGTCATCCTCAAGCCTGAAACATCATAAAAACAAAAGACTCCTTTAATTAACTGAAAAGTACTCATCTCCTGAGAATATGTGAGTTCGTGCTGTATCCAATGGCCCAACGATTGTGGCAGATTGTCCAGATACAAAACGCTTGCAGAGGCTCCTTAAGTTTGATGGTATCACTACACACCCAGTTCTGCAGAAACCAGAAGGTCAAGACGAAGTTGTTTACCAAGTGATTTCTTGATTGTTAATTCGTTTTAATAATATGAACAAGGCAGCAACTAACCCACTTGTTGGGTCTTATTGGGTCTTGCTCATACAAGCCGGCCGGCACACAGT